GTATTCACACCGTGCTACTTGGAAAAAAAAAAGTTGGCATAAGTGCATTGTGTCCGGAAGGGATTACTTTGAAGGCGATGAAATAAATTTGGGGAATAAATAAAGAGTTTTTGAAAAAAAAAAAAAAAAAACTTTTTGGGTAGAGTAGTATAAATGTAGTTTTTTTAATTGATAAAATGTAGATGCAAAATTTTAAAAATATTTCTTATATTTTATAGAATGGGATATTTTTTCAGTGGCGTTTCACCACTTTTGATTCTTTAATCAACAGCTTTCTTAAGATTTTTTCAACATATTAAAATCATTTTGATAAAAAATAATTTCAAAATTCAATCCGCTTTAATTAAACGTATGTTGAAAAAACAGAATCTTGTGTTTAGACAAATATAATTCTGATAAGGGTTTATCAATGTTTTCAATAAAACATTTTTTTTTTTATAAATAAAAGATTCACCAAAATTAGGTTAAAACATTTATTTAAATTAAATTAAATATTTATAAAGAACATTTAAAATTTTTCTTAAAAATTATTTTAAGTATCGCATTGGGTTAAGCACCATGTTTTCCTTTTAAATAAGTATAGATGAAATTGATTACTATGTATAAATTAGGAAACAATTCATCATTGGAGGAGACAAACTGATGAAAATGTCATTAGAATTCGCATCCAAACCGTCAAGTCTTTTGCATAAATTTTTACATTTTGCAAATCTCTTATGTATGCAAAGGATTACAGAATTTATCAGTTTGTGTGGGTCTTTCCTGCGGTGCTTATACAGGTACTATCCATTCGTACTATACTTATACTTGTGTGGAAAAATGTGGAAACTCGTGTGTGGAAAGGCTAAAGCAGGGGTGGCGAACCAGCTGCCCGCCTTGAACATTTTCCCTGATTAGTGAGATTTATCACACTTTTACAAAATATATTATTATTTATTATTATATATTATGATTTTTACAAAGTATATATATTTATATTATAATGGCAAAAAGTGAAAAACCAAATTAAAAATGCATTATTTGTGCATCCATATATTCAAAAATTAAATGTCGAAATTATGAGAAAAAAATTAACATTGATTTTAAAATAATATGTCATTGCAAATATTTCCAGCAGAAGACCTTAGTGATATTTATGCAAATATATGAGCATATTGTCTGTTTTTATTTATAATATACAGTTATGAGTTTTCATTTATATTTATATATTTTTATGTTTCTTTTTTAGTGTTGTATATTTCTTTCAAATGAAAAACCAATGTATCAAAAAATACATTATTTGTGCATCCATATATTCAAAAATTAAATGTCGAAATTATGAGAAAAAAAATTAACATTGATTTTAAAATAATATTCTTGCAAATATATGACAGATATTGTCTGTTTTATTTATGAGTTTACAGTTATGAGTTTTCATTTATATTTATATATTTTTTATGTTTCTTTTTAGTGTTGTATATTTCTTTACAGTGTGCGTTTAGTATCATTGTTTTTGTATTCTATGTTTACATGTAAGAATAAAAGTTTTTTTTTTTATTTCCAATGGCAGATTATGAACAGTTACAGAAAAAAAGAACAACGAAAAAAAAAAAAAAACATAAAACAACAACAAATACAACAAAACATACTGTAAGAATAAAAGTAAAACACAATAATAATAACTCATTACGTTTCAATTTTCCCTCCAAAACAAATGTCTGTAGTGGGTCTAATTGTAATATGGGGATATATAATTTTATATGCGGCCTGCTGAAGTTATGATGCATTTCCAAAGTGGCCCGCAAAATCATTTGGGTGGGCCACTCTAGGTTAAATGTGATTTCCCAATTTAAAAAAATAATAGTTCAAACAAGTTTCTTCGATTATTTGAAGAACTTGTATAAAATCATAAAACCTGCAGTGAGAAGTTATAAAAGGTAATATCGAAGAATATTTGTTCTTAATATAAATTATTATTTAATAGCTATATTTATGAATTTTAATAAATATATTAATCTTATGTTGGAAATGTTTTGTACAATTGTGTAACATTTATATAAAAAAAATAGTAAAACCTACAGTGAAAAATTATAAAAGAACATTTTAAGGAATATGTGTTCTGATGATAAATGGCTGTTTATTAAAAATATTTATGTATTTTAATAAATATATTCCTCTTACGTTGAAAACGTTTTGTACAATTGTGTAACATTTAAATAAAAAAAAAAAAATCTGCTGTGAAATGTTATAAGAGGACATGTTTAAGTATATTTGTTCTGATGATAAAATGGCTTTTTAATAAATATATTCATGCTTATATGCATTTTCATAAATATATGCCTCTTATGTTCAAGAATTTTTTTACATTTCTGTAACATTTGTATAAAAAAATAGTAAAACCTGCAGGTATATAAAATATAGGATATAATAAAGTAAAATGACTTTTTAATAACATCTATACTTTTTTAATAAATATATTCATGCATTATAATATATATATTCATCAGTTATGCACCATCTATATACTGTGAGATATTTTAAAAAATAAAGTTGGTTATTTAAAAAAAATTCTTTAATTCATATTTCTTTCAGAATAAATTAAAGAATAAAAATTACGATTTAGAGAAAAATAATCCATAAATAAAATAAATTCGGTAAAAAAATAATAACAATAAGTATTAAAAATGTAACAATGAGATGAATTTAAGAAAATTATAATTTTCTTTTAACAAATTAAACAAGAGGTTAATATACGGAAAAAAAGAGAATAATTCATTTTTTCAAGGCAAATCATTAAAAACAGATAATTGTACTTTTAATCGTTAGGATATTTCTATTTTCGACTAACTTCGCAATGTTCCAGTTCATTACTTGTGTTTGAGTCGGTAATCATAGTTTACACCTTTCCTGAGCCTCCGTTTTCTCTGCACTTTGTTAAATGAGGGAGAAAAACACTTTTTTCTTTGTTAAGAAAGTTTGAAAACTCTTGATTACATTTTTATTTCTTTTTGTCAGGAGAAAAAAAAAAATGAAATTGAAACAAAAGAAATGAAACAGTTGGTTAAAGCAATAGCTTATCTAGATAGTCAGTTTTATTTCAATAAAGTTAAAATGAATTGTTTATTTATTTTTAAATAAATACTTCTTTATAAAATGAATTACTTTTATGTTTTTGGATAAATCATTAAATAAAAAATTCTGTGTTTGAGTTACAATAAAACATTGTAAATACTTAAGTGTTTTATTTAAAGATTCATATATTTTTATAATAAAACATTTTAATACTTGAATATTTTAATTAAATCATTTTTGTATTTTATAATAAAAATATTGTAAAGATTTAAGTATTTTATTTAAAACGTTATATATATTTATAATTAAACATTGTAAGACTTAAGTGTTTTATTTAAAACATTATATATTTTTATAATAAAACATTGTAATACTTGAGTGTTTTATTTTTAATTAGTTTCTTGTAAAGGAAAATAAAACTACTTAATTAAACTTTTAATAAAGAGGAAAACACTGAAATATGTTAAGAAAATTAATTTTATCATGTTTATGTATGATCTTTTCACTGTATTGAAATAGATAACGAATATATGCCTTTTTATAATGCCGTAAATCTACCAACGATATTTGAAGCAAACGCTTGTTATAATATTACACCAATTAAATTAAATAATCGTATTAATATTAAATTCACGAACAAAAAATGTAATATAGGGCTGTTATCTATAAATTAAGCTGTCATCTATATCATTCCCTCAATGTTTTAAGTTATTTAATTAATGATGAAGGTTGTGTTTTTAATAACATAGCCTTGATGTCGAGCTTACTCCTCATCATGACTTTGATTGCCCAGGTATTGCAAATCCCCGTACACTGTCTCAACCATCCCTCTGAAGAGGATTTATGCTCCGAGCTGGCAATCAACATAGCCAATATTATTCGGGAGTACCACGATATTTGATTTTCTTCAGGGCATACTACAACAACAACAACAACTTCATGAATTCTCTCAAATCAAAATCATACTCTTCTCTATATTGAAAAGCAGCAATTTTCCATCATTTCAGGGAGTTATCTGAACATAGATCATTGCCCACGTTTTACTAATCGCAGTTTTATTTACTAGCTGGTGATATATTAAGCTATATATATAATAGTTGTATGTTTTATACGGGAATTATATAGTATCACAAAAGAACCTTACACTGATTAAAAAACAACATCAAAATTAATATTAGATTAAAATTACATCTCCTGTGCACGCACTCCAGGCGCTCGAGTAATCTTTGCGCACCTTTTTTCTATTCTTGTTTCCCTTTTCTATATCGTCGAGAAAATATCATTTTCCACTCATAATTTTTCTGATAGCCTTTTAACAATCTTATTATATGTAGAATATATACATATAATAAGATTGCTAAAAACGGGGGAATAATTTACATATTTTGGGACTGTTTATATTTATCACTTTATACTTTAATTTGTTGGTTATGTTGCTGTTTATTTCTTTTCACTATGCTTAACTCTTTTTCCATTTATTTGTTTTGATTAGATTAACATAGCCAAATCAACGTGTTTGCCATCTGTGCCGCAAATGTTGTGGAGAAATTCGTCACGATTGAGTCCAGACTGTATTTCTGCTTTGTGGGAAAAAAACATTTCTTTGGTCTCAGATTCTAGTAGACGGGAGGTACATATTGTTTACTTCTGTTCAAATAGACTATAAATTATCAGTTCATCAGAGAGGAGACTATTTTTATTCAAACGATATGCCACTTTTGAGCATCTTGCTAAAAGTGAAGCTCATCTAAAGGAGTGACTTTGGCAGTATAAATCTTTTCAGCGCTTTATTAGGTACTCATATTTGAAGAGAGAGTTACATAGATCAGTTAAATTCTGTGATAGAATGATATCTGAACTTAACTTGTTTTCTATTATTGCATTCGAAATTGAAGAATTACTAAATTTGAAGAGTTATTTCAGTTCAACGAATAACAATTTGAAGAAGAACGGCCATACCATGCTGAATATACCGGTTCTCGTTAGATCACCGAAGTCAAGCATCATTTCTGTACCCAGGTGGGTGACCACCTGGGACACCGCGTGCCGTTGGCAACAAATTTGGGACCTGAATGACCGAGTGTTAGCGCGCTTAAAGTTTCGGGTTCGAATCCCGGCGGTGCCATGGATGTTCGTAGTGGTTCGAATCCCCTTTTTAAGCCTAATTTTTAAAATCGTACGGGTGCTCCATAAAAAGCTGCTTCCTTCTTCAATCATGAGTACGTAATAGCCAGACAAATCTATTTGAAATCGATTTTAAATTTCACCAACAAAAGATCTCTCTAGTTATAACAGTCAAAATTAGTTACATTTAACCATACATATACATATACATGCCACCCTGACATTTTAATTATCAAAGATTTGGACGTTCAAAAAGTGCATGTTGTGATAAAACAATATTGAAAATACATGGAATACAGCAAATGAGACATAGTTTTAGAACTATATAGAGTCAATATTAAAAACAGATATTTTTAATGCGTCAAGATGTAATGCAAACTTTGTTAATTACTTCTATCTAGTTCAGAATTATAATTTTTATTGATTTTTATTCCAGACGCAATTTAAATTCATGTCGTTGGTAAATAATGCAAACTATTCGGAGGAGGTTGATCAGAACTGTCGCTTGTGACTGGGGATTGCAATACCGGTATACGGGATACCGAATACCTGTATTTTGAGTCATTGTACAGTTTTGTAATATCGGTATTCACAAGTTTAAATACCGGTTTTCGTTATTTTCTAGAAATTTAGAAATCTTGAAAGAATTCTTATCCGTGAAAAGAATTCTTATCTGTGAAATTCTTATTCTTATCTGTAAATTCTTATTCAGAATTCAGAACGTATCCACATTCAGAAGAATTCGGTACAGTTGTCGAAGATTATAATGATACTAATATTGATAGTGAAAATTAATTATCTCTAGAACAAAAAATTAGAATTAGCGATAACTAAAAAAATTTCAACAAACCAAAATACAAAGCAGAAATCAGCTATATCCAAAACAATCCGACGAGAAATAGATTTATTTGAAAATGAGGCATTTAGAGGTAAATACTTGGAAAAAGTATATCGCGCATTACTAACAGTAGCGTTTTTGACAGCTGGTAATTTTTGCACAAAAATACGTTCCAGGCTTAATGATAGTACAATTGATGCATTATGTTTTTAAGGTCATTTTTCAAAAATTTGTAAATAGTACCACAGACTGAATAGAGATATTTACACTTTTGTAAGATTTAAATAAAGAAGATGTTCCTTTACATTTTTGTGATTCTTTATATACTGTTATAATTTATAAATTACAATTTTTTGTGATATTTACATATTCTAATAAAACTTGGTATTAAAACCGGTATCCCGGTATTAAGATCTAAAAAAATACCGAATACCGGTATTGAACTTTTGGCCCGATATTGCAATCCCTACTTGTGACATAAAACTACATCTACCAATTTATCAAAAAATTAAATATTTTTCCGAATATCCAGCATATATAATGTATCTAATATTCTCTAAGAAACGTGCAATCAAAAATTATAATTGGTTTAAGAATAAAATTAAATTTATTTTCAAAAAATTCAAAAATTTAAAAATATTCTCACATAAAAACATCTAGATAAAATATAATTATATTACAGAAAGAGCAGATATTCTTTCTTTATTTGATTTTCTTAAACATATTTCTAGTAAATTCTTTAACATGATTGTTAACCATAACAATACGACAATCCAGGAGATTGAATCATATATTCCCAATAAACGGCCGCATAAATTTTACTTTAAGTTTTTTTTTTTTTAATGTTTCCGTAAATTGTTTTATGATTTTGTAAATTTATAAATTTATACTGACAATATTCAACTGTTTATTGCTTCCTAACAAGTGGGCTAAAAGTTCATAGGCTGACACATAGATGGCGCTACTAGTATTAAATCCATATGATTTTTAGTTAGCACTAACCTTCAAGAGACACGTGTATAAATTTGACAGCTGTTGCACTATTAGTATGTGAGTTATAGCATTTTTAGTGTTCATCACGTGCAGTCCACTCGGCTGACTGTCGATTGGACTCCGGTGCGAAATGATGGAGCCATGTTTCATCCATTGTCACATATCGACGCAAAACTTCGGTTTTATTATGATTGAACAGCTCCAAACACTGCTTAGAATCATCCATTCGTTGTTGTTTTGGGTCGATTGTGAGCTCGCGCGGAACCCACTTTGAACAGAGCTTTCACATATCAAAATATTCATTCACGATATGTCCAACACGTTCCTTTGATATCTTTAGGGTCTCAGCTATCTCTACTAACTTCACTTTACGGTTATCAAAAACCATTTTGTCGACTTTTTTGATGTTTTCATCGGTAACAGCCTCTTTGGAGCGTCCACCGCGTGCATCGTCCTCGGTGCTCATTTCGCCTCGTTTAAATTTAGCAAACCACTTCTCTACGGTTGATTTTCCTGGTGCAAAGTCCGAATAATGTTTATCAAGCCAAACCTTGTCCTCAATAGTATTTTTTTCAGCGAAAAGCAATGTTTTATTAACACACGAAATTTCCTTTTATCCATTTTTTTCAAACTAACAAAAGTTGCTTCACTAAAAATGCTATAACTCCCATACTAATATTGCAACAGCTATTTAATTTATACACGTGTCTTTTGAAGGTTAGGGCTAACTAAAAATATGTATTTAATACTAGTAGAGCCCTCTATGTGTCAGCCTAAGAACTTTTCAGCCCTCCTGTTACATCGGAGATGAAGCCTTAAGGGACTAAATAGCTCCCAAATCTTAAACGTCAATAGTTAAAGAGTAGAGAAGTTCAAATAAAATTATTCAGTTACTATATTTAAAAAATTCATCATGTAAATTTGTGTTCATGTTGCATTTGAGCTCTTAAACTTGACTTTCGGCACATTTTTCATATGAAAATTATTCATATTTGACGTGTATATATATTACCAGATAATTATAACCGCTAATGTATTGCTGCAGTCAAACCCGTCAAATTATCTTTTATCATTGTGTTTTATAAAAAGACTAATGTAATTAATTTTCATTTGATTTTTCTTATTTAATTTTATTATTTTAATCCATAAAATAATGGAGCTTTTTGCAATACTGTAATTTATTGAGAATCATTTAAATTTTATTGATTACAATTATAAGCTGTTTTATTTTATGAATATTTTTTAAAAAGCTTAGATACAAAAAAATTAGAAATAAAACTAATAGTGTAACTGTGCTTCCTCCTACGCATTGCAAGAGAGCCCCCTGTGGAGTACAGAAAAATTTTCAGTAGGCCTCGAGACTCTCACCCAAGAGGAAGTACGGTGCAACCCCCCGCTTCTGCTGAGAAACATTTTGTTTATAGTCTCTCTTTCCGAGGAGAAATATATTTAACTCAAGTTGAGTATTAATTGGCCTATAGACTCTCTCACCCGGTGAGGAGGTATATTTCGCTCATCCTGCGCAAACCTGAGTATCGGGTTTTCAGCTTACAAATGGAATCCTTCCACGAATCTATAATTATGTCATTAAATATGTTAAGTATTGTATGTCTCTAATTGTATATGTATAGTGTTTGTGCGTGTGTCAATAAAGTTGTGAGTTCTCCAACCTGTGCCTCAAGTATCTCAACCCAACCACCCCTGTTATAAACCAGATTTTCTGCAACCCACAACACTACAGTACAAAATAATTCCTAACTATGACTTAAAAAAATGTCTTCAATAACATTTTCTTAACAAAATTTCAGTTTTTTTTTTTTATTGTAGGATAATACGACGTATAAATAATTAAGTTAGACATTTTCAAGCATCAGAATTTGATTTATGTAAGTGTTGCCAAAATGTGTCAAAAGAATTGTTCTTAAATTTTGAAAATTAATTACGAATCATTAATTTAAAGGTACTTAAAAAAGGTACTAGAACTCTTGCCTTCTTATACTTTTATAGGTATATCTCTATAATTAAAAGTATAAAAGTAAGAGGCATTTATACAAAACTTCCATAAAAATGCTTATCTAACATTTTATGATACCACTTAAAATAATGGGTTTTTCCAATTGTGAAGAGAACATTGAAATATAATATTATGTGCAAAAGCTGAACACTGTTGATTTAATAACTTGTTCTTATATTTAGGAATTAATACTTATTAATCCAAATTATTTTCGCCCAGTTAGGTAAGTTGGTGCTAGATAAAAATAATAAATCTGGTAAAATGTCTGACTACTTAAGTTAATTATGAAACAGGTAGGTGTTAGTACGCTGTTGTAATTAATTTTGGAAGTAACTAAACCTTAATGTTGTTACAATGTCTTAATTGGCAATTTATATTCCAAAAAAGGGACAACACGCCTTAATTCCACACAAACTTTATATGAGAGGCAAGAACAGGGAGATTATTTGTGGTTTCTCTTTAATTTTATTGCTAAATATGACATTTAAAAGTATGCTACTATGACTTAAGTTTTCAAAAAATAATTTTAAGAAATTTTGTACGTCTAATGTTGTGTCTTAGAAATAATAAAGTCGTTATTTTAAATGGATTTTTAATAAGATATTTAAAAAATTGTATATACTGTTATTTTGTTTTTATTAATAATTACATTTGGTGTCAAGTTTAATTTATGAAATTTAATTTAATTTCATTAAATAATTACATGTGGAATCAAATTAAATTAAATTTTTTGTTTATTATTACTGTAGTAACTTCCAAAAACCATTAAAAATTTTGCTTTTGTTTTGAATAAATTTACAAGGTTTTACAAATACAATCTTATTTGCTTCTATTCAATTATTTGTAAAACTTTAAATAATTTTTTTATATAAATAAAATATTTTTTTAAATACTTCCTAAAATTCATCAAATTCCAGACTGCAATAGTGCTTAACTGAATTATATTATTTTATTAATTTCTGACGAGTTATTTTTAAATTATTTTCGAACTTTTTTAAAGAATGATATTTAATTTTATAAAAAATGTATGGGTTTTTTAATTATACATTAAAATGATTTTATCTATAAATCCTTTTTCGCGT